ATACGCTAGCCTCAACTTCTACTTACTTTTCGTCTCCCAGATGACTTGTGGTTGTCCAGATGATTCCTAGATTTTTTCTACCCCTCTTTCGAGGATTCCCATCTTCATGGTTAAATTTCATAATTTTGTAAACCAAAGTATGCTTTGTGAGGGGTCCACTTGCGCGCAATTCAACCGCAGTTTGAAAAATTTCACTGATGAAATCGTCGTACTAGTATCATATCATCTCACGTATGAAATTGGAAGAAAAAAACATTACTCGCTCAGAAAAAAACTTGAACATTACTGACTTGAACATTACGTGGAAATGAATCGAGGTTTCATTTTAATTTCCTTCTGAATCGTGGACTTCCAATTTCGAAATTGAATGCTGTTCTGGTCGTTAATTGTTTCTGAAATGTTATTTTATATCGAGAAAAGTGGTTATTCGACTATTGGAAGAATGCGAAGAAGTTTTCTTGCAGCAGTCGGGGAACATCGACCAAGAGCGTGATCGAAGGATTTTCCGAGTCCTTGTGAACATCGATCGATGGGAAAAGATTCAAGATTTAAAAAATAAAAAATAAAATAAACCGCTCGTTGGAAATGTTCATGCCTCAACGTAATGTCTACAGTTTTCTCCTTATGCTTCATAATTTGAAGATTAGCATATTTTTATTTTTAGACTTGAATGCGCAATGAATGAAAAGCCATAATATTTTCTTTTCGAAATCTGCTGTTCTGTGAACCCGAATGGGTGTGAGTTAAGGAAAGGAAAGAACTGCGAATTCCAGCCCTACCCTGAATTTCAAGTATCAATTGCAGTAAGAACTCGACCAATCAAATCCCCTCACGTAACTTGATCTCACGTACGCATTCGAGTGGTATCCCGAAATGTATACTTCTAGTCGAATCGTCAGGGAGAATGGATGTAATTTGGTTAATCAGCATTTTATGGTAAAATCGTTGATTTTCTTATTCCATTACGAGATTTACAACTGGATGAAGCTGCGATACAGTATGAAAAAATTTCATGAAACTGCCAATTCAAGTGCGTCATGAGCAACAGCAAACAATTAATTAAATACTCTGACAAGAGTCTCTGTGCTTCAGTTCTTCGGTGATAATTGTCTTAATAAGCTCGAGATGCGTTTATAGACCCCGTCCCTTAATTTCATGAATACTTCTGTACCAGATTGATTCTCCAAAAGCCTTTTTTTTGCGATTGTGGAGATTGGAAACTTTCAGCTCATCCTTTCCCGGATAATAACATTTTCTAATGACAAAGAAACGGAAACGTGTTTCGATGAATTTATTGTTTTTATATGTAATTTACGTGTGCAGTACAATATTCCGTTTTATTTATTAATTTTTGCTTTGTCTCTCACAATAAATTTCTTTTGAACGTTTTCTCTTTGTAGCATTTTTACGAGCGCTTCTTTGACAATTTGTCAGTGAATCACTGAAACCATTATTGTCTTTCAGACTTTTTCCTTGATAATCTATGAAAATGTTTGTCAATTTTCTTGAAGGACCACCCAAGAAGTATTGTAATTCAAAAGGAACACACTCATCATTCGCTGCGTGTGTCCTTCTTACACACCATATTTAGCTTACGAATCTGATTGTTTCCTTGCTTAATCTCTGCGGCATTAGATGCATAGTTTTTCCTGTAAATCTACCAAACTTACCTGAAGATGTCTAACCAGGTTTCATCCGACCGCAGTATACGAGGTATAAATTAATTATTGGATTATGAACGACTGGCTGAAGTAAAACATATTTTCGTATTGCGCGGCAAAACCTATCGCATTGCAAGTTATAATATCGTGAATCCATCTAATGACAATCGAACCTCTCGTAAGTCGAATTTCAAGGCACCGGGGAAAAATTTCGAGTTCGAGACACAAGCATGTTTGTTGTGGGAAAGATGGAAGAATTGCAGGAAATCGTAAATGGTGATGTGATATTGTGGGCCTTGAATTGCTTTTCAAGTGAGTTGACAGGATGCTGGACTTGGGACTCAGTGGTTCATTTGCCCAATTAGTCTTTCAATTCGTTTCAAAACACATCAAGTTATTTTTTTATGACTTTTCTCTTTACTTCGTCGATAAAATAATGGCCCAAACGCCTCTAGAAAATTTGAGTTACGGAGGTTTTAGAGGTAAAGCGTTCGAGTTAGTGAGGTTTCTAATGCATCGGTTCCAAGTAAATCCTGACGGAGGCTTGAAAAATAGTCAAATTAAGGATGCATTCGACTTGAGAAGGTTCGAGTTTGAACTGTAATAATTCACAGTCCAAGTTGCATGACTTCTCAACTAAGCATGGCTTTGAATAGTAGGAGTTGATTTTATGATGCGCAGTATTGCGACGACATCAGTTTTGAAATGGAAAAAGAATATCATCAGCCGAAGCCGGTTGTTCAACATCTCGCATCTGTCATGTGTTGCCGCCCAAGAAAAAATAAAATAAATGTGAGATCTATGAGCGCTTCTCCTCCGTTGTTCTGACCAAATAAGAGGAACTGTTCCGGTGCTTTGCTTATTTTCTTCTTTTCAAAATAATAAGTGTTTCCTTGGGATGAGTGTGAAAGCATTGCGTGGGTGTCGGGGATGCGGCCGTGAACACCACTGCGGGTGATGAAGAGGGCTCGGTTTTTTACGCAATAGTTTCTTACTGCCGAGCCAGTGATTGACGGTAAAGTACTGTACTGGGGGGAAGTCTGACATGTCGAAATTTACATCCAGTTATTTTTTCATTCGCTTCTGCAAGTTTCAGAGTCTTTTATTTTTTTCGTTTGAATAACCTTGTTGAAAACTTACAATTCTAGTCGTTTTGAAGGATAATTCGTCGGAACGTAATCTCGACACGAACCCGTTTTTGTTTAGTTCAAACCTACGAAAGTACTGCTTGTCGTGCCTAGTTAACTTCTCAACACCTGAGTATCTTGATGATACAGTCTTCATTGTTTCCTCGTCGTATTTTCTAGAAGAATAATGATTTTTCATTCAGTTATATCAAAAAATTGTGGAGAGAGAGAGCTCTTTTTTGGCATATTCCGAGTAAAAACTCAAGAAGCGTCGGTCCGAATTTCTGGTTTACAATGTGCGAAAAATAAATAAATTTTGAAGCGTCGTATTCTAAGTAGAAGTACGAAATAATCGTCCAATTAATGCAGAACTACTGTACTTTAGTTGATGATAAGCTCGATATCTCATGTGCCAGGCGAACATTTTGATGTAGATGTCCACGCATTCAGAATGGATTAAAATTTGCAAAAACAAATGAGTATTCTTGTTATATAATTGGGGGCTCTTGTTCAAATATTATGGAAGGGTTTATTTTGTGATTGTGCCAGCTATTATGCTAAACGAGGTATGAATTAAGTTTCTAACGGGACTTTCAGGACGCCGGCTTTCGCTGCTGAAAGAAAATCCAACTCGTACTTGTTTTCTTAGGGTATGCGTTGTTTTAAATGCTAATTGGCGTTCGTTGCATGGTAAGTTTTTGCGAAAGGAAATTACAGTGCTTTGATTTTTTTTTAGCGGGAAATCCGCGTCCGAATTATTCCCGATAAGGATTTTACCTGAGCAGTACTCAAGGCCGTTCGCGGGAAGCAGCATCGTAATTCACGTTTATTTTAGCAAGTACTGTACTACGGTCAGAAAGAGTCGGTATGAGAAAGACAACCCGAAGGTTAAAAGAAAATCCCATACTTATCAATGTTTTGTACCGTATTACTGTAAATGCAACTTACGCCTGAGTCTGTGCATTGTGTTAATGTTTTGTGTACGGTGCTTTTTTATAATATCGGTTTGTTTTGTGGGTGACTTGTTGAGTGAATGAAGATTGCTTTGATTTTAACTGAGTACAACTTTTTTGAATTACACGCCAAATGTTGTAATATATCTTCGTAGAATTTGAATTGGACACACACACAAAAACTGGGAGCCGCATTATTTAGGGATTCGGGTTCAGAAGTTGTATTTCTTACGAATTTTATTGCGGACAGTCGGTAGTTCGGCGAAGTACAGTATTTCAAATTATTCACAAATCCTTTGAAAAGTCGTGTCCGAATGAAAAATCTCTACACCGTCGCAATTTTTGTTCTTGCGATGCTGAGTGTCATGTTCATCATAAAATGTCAATCCATGAGTGGGAAGTTGCCCTATAGTAAACTGTGTGAGAGATACTGATGAAGAAGTTGATCTTCAGAAAATTGACAAGTTCTATGATTGATAACTCAGTTGTCGGGAGATCTTGAACTTCTCTTCTAAAACTCGAGTGCGCAAAGAACTTCGTGTCGACATAACAATTTTCAATTCCTCATTTTTGTCATTCAAAGTTATATTGGTAAGTTACTTCAAAGTGCTGAGCCTGTTTATACAGTACTCGCATGATTTTCTGGTTTTTAAATCGATACTTTCTCGTTTCTCTTGTTTTACTAGGGGAGAGAAAACGGAGGCATTAACAGAAGATCTACTCGAAGTAGAAAAGCGCTTGGAACACTTTCAAAAGGTCTGCCAGCTAACATTCAAGCGTGTAAAGGAATGTCTTGTCGGAGTTGGCGCTGGTGTGGACGAAGCATGTTTGGACAAACACGGTTATATGTGTACCAACGTTTTCAACTGATACTTGATCCACTTCTCATTGTCGTGTGGGTTTGGAATCGCCCGCGTTTGTGATTACAGACAATGCGAAGTTTCAGAATAACGAAGTTTTTGATTATTGCAAAATATGATGTTTGACAAAACTAAAATGCAATTCACATACGCTTGATTTTTTGGAATCTGACACATTCATTTTTCAACTATTGCTGCAAAATACCGCATTCAGCAGCAACCTTACTTTTTGAATAAACATTACAGGTTATTTTTAAATAAGCTATAACTGCCGCATATTTTTATTAGATTCCTTTCGGAGGATACATTTTTTCGAAAGGTAAAGTATTTTTCAGTGTCTTTCGTGGGTGGGGTTCGCGATTGAGTGTTGGTTTTTTAAATCGCGTTTTTTTTTTCGTGATGATTAGGAAAGTTCTTCGAGGATACGGGCGAACATGTGACGAACTGGCCAAAGAACATTTGGAACATGAAGTGCAAGTTGAAGTGAACATTCTGGCCCCGTTGAGTCGATTCCTTGATCATGACTTCCCGTCGCTAGCCAAACACAGGAACAAATTGAATAAACTCGTGGCCGATTTCGACAACGCACGTTCTCGGTAAAAAAAAAAAAAAATTTGGTCGACATCTCTCCGAATGGAGAAGTTCTAATTTTTGTTTCCCCTTAGGTTATCGCATGCGGAAAAGAACATGACAGAACAAACAAAGATTGACACTTTACGTGACGAAGTAGAAGATCTCCAGTCGAAATTCATCAATTGTCGTGTGAGTTTTTTTGTTTCTTTTTCTTCGGTTTTGATTTCCCTTTTGTGTTGATCCACATAATCCAGTCAATCCACTGTTTTTTTTTTTTTTTTTTTTAAATCGGCACGGAAGTTTCTGCTTGGAAATCGAGCTTCGTACGTGGATGCTGCTGTATCGAATCATTTCCAATCGAACGATTTACGGGATTATAGATGCTTTACAAATCTTGCTGCTTTTATTTTTCGGAGTTGATTCACCGTTAGACGATGCGATTATTCCCCGCTGTAGGTGAACGGAATATTATTCAAAGTTTTTTTTAAATATGACCGGTATTTTTCAGGATTCGTTTGCTGGTGATATGTACGAAATGCTAGCGAGAGAATCTGAAGTTGCTCAATTGATAATTCAGTTGTCCAGGGAGCAGAAGAAGTATCACGAAATGTCTTTGCGATCGTTGCAAGATATGCTTCCGGAACTTGAATCCAGCATCAGTAAGAGACATTAATTGCCTTCAGTGCGTAGACAGGCTATTGATTGTGGATCAATGCTACGTTTTGTATTTCAGAAGAGAATCCTAGTCAGCGCGCTTGGGGCACGTCGTTGAACGAGCACTTGCGTGTTACGGGTCGGGAAATTGCTCTTCCGCTCGAATTTTGTGTCCGTGCCTTGCTGAGAAACGCCATGAAAGAAGAAGGTCTCTTCAGAATCGCTGGGAGTAAGTGATTGCCGAGGAATGTCTTTATCTACGCTTTCGATACAATACACACCTGAAGTGTTGCATAGTACAGTATAAAGCCCCGCGTTACTCCGATGAAGGACAAAGTAGGAACGAACGGCTTCTTTTCGATGAACAAAAAATTCCATGTTATCTCATTTCAACGTGTAAAATTTGTGTAATGCTGCCGAGAGCTTTTTTCTTGTGAGGTATTCGTTAATTTTTACTTTCAAATTTTGGGAATCTTATGAGTGGCGCCCAAATGAGTCTTTGAAAAATTGGTACATGTATAAAAGCTATTGCTCATGGTAGAATTGAACTGTTCAGCAGTTTTTCCTACCACATGGGGACTTTCCACAACGTTTTTTTCTTCGATGATTTTCTCTGAATGACGATTATTCTGTTGGTTCCATGTGGGGT